ATGTACATATGTATGTATATTATGATATATGCATCCATATGTGTAGATGGGCGCTTGAGCTTGCGAGTATTTATCTATGCTCTTGTATTATCACTGGTCATATTACCCTTTCGCTGCAAATATTGCGCTGTGGCCATGCATTGCTTTTCATGTTCTCCCATTTGCGTGCAACGTCGTCGTCGTCATCTCGTCGTCGTCATGCCCGGGTTGCTGCTGTTGAAAACGATTGTGCCTGTCTGTTGTCGTCGGTTGCATTGCATGCCATGTTGTTGATGTTATTCGCCGTCGATGATTGTTGTGACTAGTGGTTGCTGTTGCTGTTGGTGCATGTGTTTGTTGTTGCACGTCGCCTGTTGCACTAGCATGCCAGCAAGGACGGCTTGGGGTTGTGGTGATACCTTCGCTGTGATTCACTTTTGAGCTTTGTTTGCACGATGCGCTTCGAAAGGTGCTTTGTGAAGGGCGATGCTGATAATTTTGAATAATTTTATCGTTGCAAATGTAGGGTGTGAACGCAGCAAAACTATATATGAGAGCGAAAAATTTGATTTTTAAATATTAAAAGTTTTGATAGTAATGTAAATGAGTGATAAGGTTTTAGAACATGTTCCCTTTTTTACTTATACACCCTTTTTTTTTCCTTTGATCCATCAGGTATTCTCGAACTCCTAACACAGCTGGTCATGGTACTCGAAGTTAGTGCACAATTTCCCTCAATTTGGCGTCACTTTAGTCGCTCTTTAGAAGTCTATGCGGCCAGCAGTTAAAATGAACGCTCTAGTGGGCATGCTTGCGAGCCGGGTAGACAGAACCCCATGCGCGCATTCAACTTGGCCCGGCTTTGCTTTTGAATGTTGTCGCACTGCAAACCAACTGCGGTCACATAAACAACGACAACCGCAATTGTGGCCGCAGAAATATTTTTGTTATTGACAGAGTTGCGAGTGCAGTTATGGCTATAGCGCGAGAGCGGCGTTACCGTCATACATACAGACGCCCCAGTGGTATCCCCTTCCGTTCAGGCTGCAGTATGCAATCAGTAAATTCTTGGCTGAAATCGTTTATGGCCTTTCGCATCATCAATACAACGCCGCTCTATTAGCTTGCCATTGCCCCTGCCTGCCGTCGTTGTTACCATTCTACATACATACATACGTGTGCACCATTTTAGCAGTCCATTGACTACCTACCTGTCTGCCTGACGTGGCCTGTCTCTTATACACATCTAGATGTGTATAAGAGACAGCATCAATACAACGCCGCTCTATTAGCTTGCCATTGCCCCTGCCTGCCGTCGTTGTTACCATTCTACATACATACATACGTGTGCACCATTTTAGCAGTCCATTGACTACCTACCTGTCTGCCTGACGTGGCTGGGAGATGTTCAGCGACTTGCTGCTGTGAGTTTCTGTTCGCCGGTTAAAAATAGATACAATAGCAAAAATGGTTAAATGTTGGGTTGGTTGGCTACAATGGCTGTTTCGCGACGACGCCTCTTTCGCTTTGAATGGGTTGGTGCAGCGACTCACTCGTGTGTGCACGAAACTTTCAACTGTATATGTTCGTTTTTGCGTATGTGTATGTGTGTGATAGGTGAACTGTGTGCTACTTCACACTCGACACTTCGATATCCAACACCCAGCTAGCGAGTCTGTGTCGGTATGCATGCCGTTTTAGCCCACTCTCCTTTCTAGATTTCCATATTATTGTTGAGCTAGCTACAGTTGCATTTAATAGCAATGGTTGGATTGAAACGTGTGGCGTCATAAGCCGGCCGGTGAACTCATAGGAATCTAGGCACATAAGTATTGGCATGTTATGTCATAGCTTTTCGCGGAGTAAGATTTGCGCTTTGCAGTTATGTTGTGTTTCAGAATCATAACCAAGATTATTGTATAGATATTAAAACTATTTTGAAACAGTAGCTCAAAGAATTTCAGTAATTTTGAAGTTCTGATCATTTTATGTTTTCTTAGCCACACAGGCAGGTGGGAATTTTAGTTTTACGGTCACAGTAAATCTTAATATAGAACGCTGTCATATTTTCTCAGCACAAAATATATCACAGTGGTTCTTTTTGTTGTTGTAGCGGCAGAAATCTGCTGAGTTAAAAATTCTTGACCGAATAAAAATCCGGATCGGTTCCGATTACGTAGATCCGACTATTGTGGAAACGGAATGCTTCACTGTAAAAAATAAGGGTCAAGGATTTTGAGTACCTAAAGCGATTCCTCGTTGAAACAATTTTAATGCATGGTCTCGGTAAAGTTCTGATTTCAGCATATGTGCAGGTTGGAAGGATTAGTATGCAATGTGGCATATCAAAACTAATATCTGGTAAACCATTGACAAGGCAGGCTAAACCGCCACCAGACCATGAAGAAATGGATTAACATTGTGAAGTAATGGAAATGAAATCATATCCATAAGCATATATATTGTTTTTTATTTCAATTAATCAAAAATATACCCTAAACATTTATACAGGGTATTCTTTCCATCGACGCTAGAATTAAATTTGCCGCCACCTCAAATTAACGAAGTTAAAATACTCTTCCGACCATATCCGCGGACTCATCAGATTTTCATTTCACGATCGATATTCGTACGAAGTCTATTACTCGTCGCTGGTTTACATAGACCATAGATTTGATGAAGCCCCACATGGAATAGACTAACGACGGCAGGTCGCACGACCGAGGTGGCCAAACGATTAGGCCATTTCGGGAGACAATACGTTCACCAATGACGCCACCGGCCCATAAACCGCACCAAGCCATATTCTTTTCACGATGCAATGGTGACTCAAGGCGTACGTGGGGATTGCTACCTGACTAATAACGCATATTTTGCTTATTGGCGAAGCAATTGAGCCAGAAATGAGCTTCGTCGCTGAACATGATTTTCAATGAAAATCCGTATAATTTTTAAGTTGTTGCTCAGCCCAATTCACGAACATATATACGACGATTCTGGTGATCAAGCGGCTTCATTTCTTCCGTCAATTTGTTTTTGTAAGAATGTGGGCCAAGATCTTTCGCTACAATGACGTCACAGAGTTGCCCAACGCTTGAGAACAACTTGTGAGGGGCTCATTTATATCTTCCTCAATTGATGTCTTAGCACTACGATCCCTTCTTTCAATCACTGGCACCGGAACATTTTATATTGAATCTGTGGACTAAAGTCTGTCCACTAGACGCTCAATTGTTGATCTGACAGGACGATTTTGACCACCATAAATTGCACGTACTGCTCTTAAAATCACTGGCTCAGTATTTCGCTAGTAAATTTTAATAATTTCGACTCGTTGTTGGATCGAATATCTTTCAATGATGAAATGGCAACCTTACTGAATTGAAATGTCAAAAGAGCAGGAAAAAATATGGCGTCGTTTGCTGTCCCTATGTGTCTATTTTTGTAGCATCCCTATGAAAAACCGCTTTTTAGACTTTATACCTAAAACATTGGCCAAGGTGTAAATAACTTTTCTAACTTGCATGAACTCATGTGAGTATGCTTGAGTCTTCTCAAATATATTTCGAATACGAAGCAAAATGGAGTAATGAAACTAAGTGAGTCTACGATCTATAATTTAAATTAATAAAATACCAAATACCTTACACGTTTTGTTTTTCGGTTTTCGGAAAAGATTCTTCCGGTAAATTAAAAGTTGTCTCACTGAAAACATGGCTAGTCTACTAAACCCACTAGTTGTCTCAAGATCAATCAGAAAGCCCTGTAACTTTCTCAGGTTAACACCAATATTTCCATTCTCTCTAAAGCAAAAAGAAGGCCTATAGCATTCCGGGTTGATTATATAGCTATACTAATGCTAGTCATTTGTTAAAGTATATTTTAGAACTTCTAGATCTAAGGCTCTAAAAACTTATTATGAAAAATTGCAACTCTGTCTACTCCATAATGGATCATATGAACTATATATATATATTATACGTATGCAACTAGTTTATTTTAGGTCATAGATCACAAGTCATGACCGAACTCCATCGCAAAGCAACGAACAGCGCATGACAATTTTTCAGTAGAAAATTTTTTTTGAGACGCCCGCAAATGTCAAATAGTTTAATTGCTTGTAGCCGATTGTTCTTTCTTCTCTTTTTACTATTTTATTAAAATGTTTAGAATGGACTTTTGATGCACTAAAAAAGGTAATCACCATTCACTTTGGAAAGTACTTACTTGTGAGTAATGGCGGGGAATTGTGACTTTATATTTGCTTCAATTTATGTGCCGCCAAAAACTGAATTTATTGCGGTAAATGAAAAACGTGATTTTCATAACAAATTGATCGCAGCCACAAACTCAAGCGACTGAAGAAAGAAGCAGCAAAAGTCAAAGCGCGCTGCTCCAGCTTAGAGTCTAGGTCAGATTAGACAGGCATTGGGCATATGAAAATTGTGTTGCACACAACAACATGGAATGAAAGGCAGGCAAACAACAAAAATTGAACGCAACTTCATGGTGGCTTTCAAATGTTAATTTTTTTACTTTTGCTGAAGCATTGCTTTTCCGTGTATTTCTGACTTTTTCCTTTTATTTTGCATGCAGTTCACTGCGAATGACAACGAATTGTAAATTTATGATTGGAAAATATCAATGATAAAGTCAATGGAAAAAAGAAGAGGATGACTTGGGCTTTGTAGCATATTTGAGGCATTGGGAGATGCATGTACTTTTGTTAGGAGAAAGTAGAAAAGCTGTGGAGGAAAATCATGCCATCATCTCGCATGCAATTTATTTTGTGCTAGTTAATGGGAATTCACGATTATTAAAATAATTTTAACAGCGAATGATTTATCAGCTGCCATTGATTTCATTGACAGCGTACATATGTATGTACATATGTACATATATAAGACAATATTTTGTGTGCTTCCTACTAATATTTTTTTAAATAATTAATATAAATTTTATAAATTAAATAAAATTTTAATTTTCTTTTGTAATAATTAAAATCTTGTATTTTATTTCAGAACTTCTTCAGACTACATCGTCTGCGAAAATTGGGCTTAAGTGATAATGAGATAGCCCGATTGCCTCCAGATATACAGAATTTCGAGAATTTGGTAGAACTCGATGTTTCGCGAAATGGTGAGTACTAGACTAGCTCTTGCAAATTAAAAAAAAAAAATGCTAAATAATACGAGAGTTAACTGTATCTTGCCACTTAAGGGGTTACATCGGTTTCCTCGGGTAAAAAACAGCGTTTTTGGGCTGTTTTCATAAAAAATGAAATATTTTATTCGAATTTTTATTGAAAAAATTTAAAATTGCAGTTTTGGCAGACATTTACAAAAAAACCAAAAAAAAAAAAAAAAAAAATCGGCACATTTTTTTAAAAAAAATTTCTCGTCCAAGTCTTTAAAAAAGTTTCATAGTAAAATTGTAGGTAATGAAAATATCTACAACTTTAATAGTCCCTCTTTTTTCACATAACCGCAAAATTTATGAAAAAAGTTTAATTTTTTTTATCTTTTCCGAAATTTTTTATTTTACCTTTTGGTCTCCCGAACACACTACAATTTATTTTTGTGATTTAGAATATTTATTTTTTCACCTTATTTTGACTTAGTATCGGAAAATAACTAATAAAATTTCACTCGAAAATGGAAAATCAGACARAAACCACGCCTACTTCCTACATAACACAGTCCACAAGTCCAACACAAATCAGGAACTAATCAATGTATCCCGACAAACTTCCCATAGTGCTTTTGAGGTGCGCCACCTTATGATCAAAAATTGTCCAAGTCGGACCAAAACCATTCATGACACAGTTACCGAATATTTGGATGGCAATTCTTATTGCGAACTTTTTATTGAAACTATCGGTTTACCTGTTTTATATGTTATTGAAGTTCGAAAAGAATTATCCTCAGCTTTAATCTTTGCAAGTTGTGAGAGTAAAATGTTCGTTTACATTCGGCCTTAGCCCTTTCTTACTTGTGCATCATTGAAATCTCTACTTTCTGATAGTGTAAAAAGCATATTGTATTAACAAAGGTGTGTTCCAAAGAAAAGAGGACTTTTTGAATCTAGCGCCACCTGGTGGTGCCATCTATATGTCGACTGGTGCGTTAGAATCAGCTATCTTATTCAGTGAGAATTTAATCGATGACGACGGAAAGTGAAGTTACTGCSTTTTAAGTGTCAGTATGTYTGTGTTATCGGTGCGAAAATGAGCTTCGAACAAAGAGCCAAYATWAAATTTTTTTTTTTAATTKKTAAAACKTTTASCGAAACGTSGTGGTGAGGACATAAATGACGATCAACATKTGGGCCAATCAAAATCCGTGATTCACCGGAAATTCCATTGAAACTGTGCGCGAATTCATCAAATATCAGCCGAAATTATCATTGAAATTCWTGGAAATGGAATTGAACATCTCCAAAATATCGATTTATCGCAAAAAAAAGGCTTGTTGGGAAAGCATCGTTCTAACAACTACGATGTTTCTGTCGCAAGGATGTTAAGAGCATTCTCGGAAATTGTTTTTTTTTGTGTTTTTTTTTTTGGTTTTTGCCAAATGTTACAATTAAGCGAAAAAACATCAAGATAAGGAAAAAAGGGGTTAAGGTCATAAAAAAAAGCTGACACTATACTAACACTTTTACTATACTGATCTAGTACCGTCACCCTGACTTGGAATTTCTCACCCCCCAGATTAGCTGTTGTACTGTGTTATTTGACCAAAAATCAATTATTTTAACCAGTAACCACTCCTCGTATTCACCTGATATGGCACCGTGCGAATTCTTCCTTTTCGGAAAAATGCATTTGCCCATGAAAGGAGTTATGTAGACGTAGAGGCCATTCAAAAGGCTTGCTCCGGCATAATGGCGGACATACCGGCCAACGACCTAAAACACTCGTTCGCCATGCTTTTGGACACTTTGGCAGAAGGAGACTATTTTTAATAAAATAAATTGATTTTGAGGGAAGAAGCTATTTGTTCTGTTTTTTTTTTTTAAGTTCTGTTTACTTTGGAACGCACTTTGTAGGTAAGTTTTCTCAGAAAATGCAGCAATAGACCGCACTAGCAGATTCAAAGCTATTTTATTTCATCCTCTTGCTCTGCACACCGAACTCGTAATATAACAGAGATGAATTAAACAAATTGTTATATTATTTTCAATGGATTTCATTCGCTATTATTTTTCACTTTTCACAAAGGCTTCAGCCCTGGTCTATTAACTGATTTGCAAATTCTTTTTATTTTTTACTTTTTCTAATTAAATACTCACACCTCTAGTGTTAACGTCCCACAAGGAACACCTTGCTACCTTTGCTCTTTATTCACTTCTATTCGCATTGTTGCACTCAATTAAATTTATTATTGCAGCTTGTTCTTGTGCTGATCTGCTATTGAATTGCAATAGATTTGCCAACAACAAAAGTACAGAAATCTAATCAGAATTCTCATCACTCTGCATTCAATCCATATTGCTTGCCATTGTACTATTATTTAAAGAATTATGCTCGTGAGTAGTGGCATCAGCCGCCACTGTGAATGACGTCAATGTACTTATGTASTTGGCAGGCGGAGTGAGTTACACATTTTTGCTCTTGAACATCGTAATTGCATATTATTTTTTCCGCTAAAAGCCAATGCATGTACCCGCTGGTGCGCGGAAACCCGGACTGCATCCGCATTGGATTAACGCGCGCCATCAATATGCTGCTCATCATTGAACAATTGCGCTAAATATGGTACCAATTCGCGTATTAATTAAGTGCAAGAAATACAAGCAACAGCATTGCAAGTGGATAAATCGAAGTTTTCATTTTCAGGATCAAAATTAATCGTAATTGTTGAGTAAAATATTATCATACCATATCCTGCTTTTTATATATGAAATGATATCGTATAACAAATATGTATACTCAGTACATAATACTGCAGGTGAAGGGGATTTTGGGAAACYAAAGTTCGTGAAAGGATTACATGGGTTTCAGAACTTCAAAAATCGCACTCGATGCCAGCTTTTATTGGCGCTCCAAACTTCAGACAAGTTTTTCGAGAAACTGTGCTTTCAAAGATTTCTCGAGGTCTACTCCACCCCACCGATCTTGATGGATACACTAGCTTGAGCGAAGAATTTGTGAATGAAGAGAAATTTTAGCGATTTGTTTTATGAAAAAACTGCCAAAAATCGAATTTTAAACTACCATAAAATCCAATTTTTTTCATCTGATAATCCTGTAAGCAGTTCTTTTGTCCACGCGAAAACACCGTTTGTCCAAGACGTCGCCGGAAATGATGACACAATTACGAAGCTTTAAATATTTKTTTACTAGAATTTCGGTTTCATGCCAGAAATATCCACTAAAATCGTTGTAACGGACTCGTGAGTGATGTCGAGTTCTCTTGCCATCTCTCTAACACTTGCCTGCCGATTTTCAAGCAGCATATCCTTCACTTTTTAAAAAAATACTTTTATCACTTGAAGAGGCCGAAGGTCGTTCAGAACGGAACATGTCTTCAACGATCTCTCGCCCGTCTTTGACGGCTTTGTATCACTCGTAGGCTTGTGTAACCTGACCAATTTATATTCACACTTGTTGTATATGTTTCTAACTTGAGTTCGACAGTTATTCAGTTTTTTTACTTTATGTACCAAACTTGTATCATCAAAGCGTCCCTAATGACGTAAGCAAACATGGTGCCCACATAACAATATCATACATTTGTATCTCCATAGCCACAATCAGTTTCCTACCAATATCGAATACATTAAATGTGTCAAGTATCCCTTAAGCGTATGCCACATGTTGAGCCTATAGATTTTCACTTCACTGGAAAAGCATACGACCGACTATTTGCTGTTGCAATAAAAAACAAGCGCGTTTGGTGCTCGGCTGTGCATACATATTGAGTTTTAAAGGGTGATCCACTTTCAGGTCCGCTACTTTTTTAAAGAAAAAACTTCAACCCTATTCGGGAATATTTATTATTATTCGAAAGAACATTTTGTGGAATTTACTTTTTGATTATCTCTTTCAAATGTTGGCTGTGGCTACAACTCAGGTGGTGTATTCGTTGAGTCTAATTTTCGATGACTCCTTTGAGCATTTCGACTGGTAATGACATGTTTGATGTTTTGCTCCAAGGCCTGAATTGAAGTGGTTTTGTCCACATAGATTTTAGACTTTACATATCCATACAGGAAAAAAGTCTTAACGGTGTAAGATCACACGATCTTGGTGGCCAATGAACCAGCCCAAAATGTGAAATTATCTTCTCACCGAAGTGTTCTTTCAATAAATCCATGGATTGATGCGATGTGTTTGAAGTGGCGCCTTCTTGTTGAAACCAAATGTTTTCAAATGACAGTCACACACGTAGAGGTGTCATAGAAATAATTAAGGAGATCACAAGCTTCAATTTCAGACATCAAACAGTCAGTTATTAYGGCGCGATAATGGAYGSAATTGACGGTTGCATTCTCACCGCCCACAAACCACACCAAACCGTTATTTTCTCTGGATGAAATGGCAGCTCATCAATGTTCAGGTTGTGTTAATTTTGCTTGTTTACATTTTGAGAAATTTTCCTCTTCGGTGAACAAAATTTGGCTCGATAACTTGGGATCTTCTTGGAGCTTTTCAAGAGCCCATATAGGGAAGCGATGTCGCTTGTGATGGTCGAGCGGCTTCAGTTCTTTCACAAGCTGTATTCTTAAAAGCTTTTCATTTAAGATCGCGACGTAAAATGTGCCAAGTCGTTCCATTCGTCAGTCCGAGTTGTTGTGTAAGGCGCCGAATCGACGCTCCACTGACTTCGTATACACTCTCAGTTACGGTTGCTATATTTTCTTCACTGKGTGCTGGGCGTGGTCTATCGGTTGAATATTATGCAATAATGATTGCTGGGTTTCAAAGTTGATCTGCCAAAAAAAGCTAAACGAAAAAAGTACCTCTACTTGGATCACCCGTTATATTGTGCATGTAACAACTTGCTTTTGGTTAGAGCAGTAATAAACACTCAATTCGATCACGTTTTTTGGCCAACTCCAACAAAGCATTGGGTCARCCGTTAAAGCTTAGGTGCAACACAAGTCTGACTGCAAGAAAAAGGGGCAGCTGTAGC